AATCACATTGTCAAGTCCAAACAAATTGGAGTCATGAGAACACCAAGCAGAAGGGCTCATGCTTGCATGTCTGATATAGGGACTGTCTCAAGGACTTTCGAAAATAACCCCACAAGGCCAGGCATGGTGGCTCACACCTGTAATCCAAGCACTTTGGGAGGCCGAGGCTGGCCAATCACTTGAGGTCAGGAGTTTGAGACCAGCCTGGCCAACATGGTGAAACCCTGTCTCTACTGAAAATACAAAAATTAGCCGGACGTGGTGGCATGTGCCTGTAGTCCCAGCCACTCGGGAGACTGAGGCAGAAGAATTGCTTGAACTCGGGAGGGAGAGGCTGCAGTGAGCTGAGATCGCACCACTGCACTCCAGCCTGGGCGAGACAGAGTGAGACTCCGTCTCAAAAATAAATAAATAAATAAATAAATAAATAAATAAATAAATAAATAAAATAACTCCACAAGGCCAGGCATGGTGACTCACACCTGTAATCCCAGCACGTTGGGAGGCCAAGGTGGGAGGATCACTTGAACCCAGGAGTTTGAGACCGGGCTTGGCAACATGGTGAGACCTTGTTTCTACAAAAAATGAAAACAAAATTAGCTGGGTATGGTGGGGGCATGCTGAAGAAATTTATGCTTGGGAACTGAGGCAAAACTCCCTTCCTTTTTGTTCCCAGATAGCTGTAATTCCACAACCCTGTGTCATAGCCTCATACATAAGCCAGGTTCCTACAATGGCAAAGAGCATATACCTCCCTAGATGGTCTCCCTCACAAATTGCTTGCCAGGAAATTCCTCATTAGCCTCTAAATCTTTCAGCATAAACACTCCCCCTGTAAACCAGCCCTAATCCGAGTTCTGTGAAATCTCATACTGACAATGTTGATTACAAGCTCATCTTCCCAATTATAGAACAAGGAAGGGACCAGGAATCATCCCTCCACCTATCATGAGACAGATGCATAATTGACTTTTTCCTCCACTCCCTCTTTTCAAATGTTTATTGTATCTTACATAAAATGTAGATTTACCAAACACTAATGAGAACCTCACAAAAAAAGTAACCATTTGCAGCAGGGTGCGGTGGCTCATGCCTGTAATCCCAGCACTTTGGGAGGCGAGTGCATCACTTGAGGCCAGGAGTTCAAGACCAGCCTGGCCAACATGGTGAAACCCCATCTCTACTAAAAATACAAAAATTAGCCGGGTGTGGTGGTGCCCACCTGCAATCTCAGCTACTCAGGAGACTGAGGTGGGAGAATCGCTTGAGCCTGGGAGGTGGAGATTGCAGTGAGCTGAGATGGACCCACTGGACTCCAGCCTGGGCAACACAGTGAGACTCTATTTCAAAAAATAAAGTAAAATAACCATTTGCTGGACTGGGCTCAGTGGCTCATGCCTGTAATCTCAGCACTTTGGGAGGCCGAAGTGGACAGATCACGAGATCAGGAGATGGAGACTGTCCTGGCTAACACGGTGAAACTCCGTCTCTACCGAAAATACAAAATATTAGCTGAGAGTGGTGGCACGCACCTGTAGTACCAGCTACTTGGGAGGCTGAGGCACAAGAATCGCTTGAACCTGGGAGGCAGAGGTTGCAGTGAGCTGAGATCGCGCCACTGCACTCCAGCCTGGCGACAGAGCGAGACCCTGTCTCAAGAAAAACAAAACAAAACCAAACCAAAAACATTTGCCTCACTGCCTCTCCTTCTGCTTTATTTTCCTCTTGCATGCTTTCTTCCCTTAAATACTGAGTTCCTGGCCAGGCGCAGTGGCTCATGCCTGTAATCTCAGCACTTTGGGAGGCCATGGTGGGTGAATCATCTGAAGTCAGGAGTTCAAGATCAGCCTGGTTTCGACCAGTAGAGATGGTGAAACCCCGTCTCTACTAAAAATGCAAAAATTAGCCAGGCACAGTGGTGCATGCCTGTAATCCCAGCTACTGGAGAGGCTGAGGCAGGAGAATCACTTGAACCTGCTAGGCAGAGGTTGCAGTGAGCTGAGATCACGCCACCACACTCCAGCCTGGGTGACAGAGCAAGATGCTCTCTCATAAAAAACCCCAAAATTCACATCTGGCAAGCCTAGGCTGCTCCACCCCCTCCTTACCCCTAAGCCTAAGCAAGTTGCACACAGTGCTCCTCCTGCCTTCCCTACAAAAAGGGGTACAGACATGTAGAAAGAGCCCGACAGACTCTGGCTCTAGATGTCTGTATCCCCACCCACAGTGTAAGCTCCTAGAAAGCAGGTGGAGAACTGTGTTATGACCCTGAACAGCCCCGTATGGTGACAGTTGTAACTTTTTTTTTTTTTTTTGACAGAGTCTCGCTCTGTCGCCCGTGCTGGAGTGCAGTGGCCGGATCTCAGCTCACTGCAAGCTCCGCCTCTCGGGTTTACGCCATTCTCCTGCCTCAGCCTCCCGAGTAGCTGGGACTACAGGCGCCCGCCACCTCACCCGGCTAGTTTTTTGTATTTTTTAG